TGTTCATATCATGCTGTTGAGCTTAATATGACGTTGCTTCCAACCAATAGGCTCAATAGGTTAATTAATAAGTACCTCGATATTAAGAGGAAGACCCCTCCCAGACCAATCTTCCTGCCACTTTTTAATCAAGTCATTAGCTGCGTTTGGGTTTCTAACAGCCATCACAACATGCCCGCCTGCTTCAGCCAATTGCCTATCCAGTGAAATAATAATAATAACCACAAAGGAATTCAGAAACAAACCTAAACAGCAACGCCAGCCATAAACCATTCAAAATACATAATAATCTCGTTTCCGAAACTGATTCCGATGCACTTTTATAATCAGATGGTAACCACTAGAAGGTAATGCCTTTGCATATTAACAAGTGTAAGCAAGCTGTTGCAGGATGTGGTGACTGAAATAAATTGTACAGAGAAATTCAAGATAAAATACCCCAATGAACTCCGATTCTCACAACATGCACAAAAATCCCAATCCATTGAATAAAAGGACACGAAGAAGAAAAAATGTGGATGTACCTGGCAATTTCTTTGCCGATCCCAGAGGTGGAGCCGGTGACAACGAAAGTGAGGTCATTAATGGGGGGAAGAGGCATCGGGTTGGGCAAATTGCTGGCGATAATCCTCTGGAACAGCATCTCGTACGCCAGATTTAACCACCCCATCAGCCATTCAATCCACCCCAGTCCTTCCTTCTTTGCCGGCGGTTTTCCATTGTTTTTCTCCTTTCCCTTCTTCGGCGAAGCCATCTTCACTCACGGAGATTGTATGAGCTCCTAGGAATTGAATTGTATGTGCTATGTCGAGCTGGAGCTGTGTGTGTAGCTGGAGATTCAAACGACTTCAATCCTCGCAACTTTAAGCCGTACTTGATTTTCAACCCCAATCCAAGCCGTTGGCTGCAAGATTCGGGGTAGAGCTACCAGGTGATGAACGTCAGTGTCTGATCGGGAAAACGTAGTACGCGGGCCGATCGAAGGTTCTGGCGAGTAGAGCGGGGAAGACGGTACTTGAGTTGGATCCGTGCTCTATCGTTATCGTCCGCCGTCGAGGTGAGAAATCGGGAGTCGTCGGCGACTTCAGGCGGCGTGCACCGAATATGGTACGGCCCTTCGTCGGTGACGGAGGGTGAGTGATGCGAAAGAGATTAGAGATTTTTTTATATTTATGCAACAAAATTGTACACAATTTATATATTATTTTTTTTATTCTGCCGCTTGTGTTGGTAGTGGTAACACAAATGGATCTCGGGCAAATCGTCAAACACCTTATTCGGGATCGGAGGGTCCGGCTTGATCGGTATTCGTTTGACGTCCCAACTTTTTACCCATTGCGCTAATTCTCGGGCAAATCGTCAAACACCTTGTGAGCGGAATTTAGTAGGATAGAGCCTGGGGGTACACAACAGTGATGGAACCCAAAATGTCTCAACGCAATTGCAGCAATATACCAACCATTCAATGTTGTCGAAGTGCTAACTAGAAGAGTGGTTACCGTAATTCGACCAAAGTTTGTTCACCGAAAATGTGGAATGGTGGCTCGGATGTTGAGTATTTCCAGGTGGCGGGTTGTGAGGTCGTCGTTGTTGGTGCTCGGTTAGGAGGTGATGGACGCCGGAGAAGGTGACAGTTGGGGACGGCGTCGGAGGTGGTTGGTGATGATGACGGAGGGCTTGCGAATTTTTGGCCCAAATTTGCTGTAACGATTCTCGTGTAGAATTAGTGACGAGGAATGAGGAATGGTGGGAAGTAACTGGTGTGGTCGCTATTCGTGGTCAGAGAGCACAATTTCCGGAGAGGGTAGCTGGCGAAGACGGCGCCGGAGAGAGCCGCTGGCCGGCGAAAATGGCCTAGGGTTCTCGAGTTCACCTTCTAATTCATTTGTGTTATGGAATTCGGGAGTGGATGACGAGTTTTTACCGGTGATGATGTATTTGTTGCCAAGATTTGAAGAGATTTTCAATGGTTGATGCAGGAGGTCGCCGGTGTGTTGAGGGGAAGAAGAAAACTCGAGAAAAAAAATGACTCCGTTCGTTCATTTGGGGCTGTTTAAATTGGGAGGTTCGCGGCCCGCGGAGCGTCTCGCGGCCGCGACATAAAAGAGGTGGAAAAATTTTACCATACTCGCGGCCCGCGGCCTAACTCGCGTCACGCGGCGAAGAAACATCTCGCGGCCGCGACTTCAAAGGGCAGGAATTATGGTGGATTTTCGCGACCTGCTTCGCGACGCGCGACAATTTTCGCGGCCCGCAACCATACTCGTGTCCCGCGACTAATATTTTTCCGAATTTTTCTTTTTTAGGTATATAAATATAAAATATGTACAAAGGTGCTCGATTTTATTGCCGTGAGCTTGGCACTCGCGCGATTAAGTATACTGTGGGTTGTCGAGATTGACGGTCTCGACGTGCTTCGTAACGATTTCTCCTCCAAATACGGCTTGATCCTTTGTCCGTTCACGACAAATAATTCACCGGTAGATGGGTTCCGAAGTCGGACGGCCCCGAAAGACAATACTTCATCAACAAGAAACGGGCCACTCCACCGGGACTTAAGTTTTCCCGGAAATAGACGAAGTCGGGAATTAAAGAGGAGCACTTGCATGTCCGGTACCAACTCCTTCCGAACAATCCGAGCGTCGTGGAGTCGTTTGATCTTATCCTTGTAAATCTTCGAATTTTCATATGCCTCGTTCCTCAATTCTTCGAGTTCCGAGAGTTGCAAAATTCGCCCTCTTCCGGCGGTATCAAGATAAAAGTTCATTTTCTTTATTGCCCAAAACCCCTTGTGCTCGATCTCAACCGGGAGGTGGCACGCTTTTCTGTAGACGAGCCGGAACGGGCTCATCCCCTAAACTCCTTTGTACGCTGTCCGTTGGGCCCACAATGCATCGTCAAGTCGACTCGACCAATCCTTCCGGGACGAGTTCACTGTTTTCTCCAAAATAGTCTTGATTTGTCGGTTGCTCGTCTCGGCTTGGCCCGACGTCTGTGGATGGTATGGGGTAGCCACCTTGTGTGAAATGCCATACTGCTTCATCAGCTTCTCGAAAATACGGTTGCAAAAATGCCTCCCACCATCACTCACAATAGCCTGAGGAAATCCGAACCTGCTTAAGAATATGTCCTCGCAAAAACTTGATGACCACATTAGCATCACATGTCCTCGTGGGGATTGCCTCAACCCATTTGGACACGTAATCTACAGCAAGTAATATATATTCAAAACCACAAGATTTGGGAAATGGTCCCATAAAATCAATGCTCCAAACATCAAAAATTTCAATCTGAAGGTTGTTCACAAGGAGCATCTCATTTTTGGAACCAATGTTCCCAATTCGTTGACATCGGTCACAAGATTTGCAAAAAACGTGAGCGTCTTTAAACAAGGTCGGCCAGAACAGACCTGACTGGAGCACTTTGAAAGCAGTCTTTCGACCACTAAAATGTCCCCCACACTGAAGCTCATGGCAGAAGGTCAGGACTCCCAGTTGCTCGTCATCGGGCATACATCTCCTAAGTAATTCATCTTTTTCGATCTTAAACAGAAAGGACTCGTCCCAGAAGTAGCTCCTGCAATTTAGAACAAAACGTTTCCTCTCTTGGGAAGAGAAGTTAGGCTGCACAATACCACAAGACAAATAGTTCACAATATCCGCATACCAAGGGCTAAGTCACTTCATTCGCATGCTCGTATGGAAAATTATCATTAATAGCATGATGCTCAAGCAAGGAATGAGAATGATCAGCTGGTATAATGCGGGACAAATGATCAGCTACAACGTTTTCGGACCCTTTTGTCTCCCGAATATCAACATCAAACTCTTGCAACAATAAAATCCACCGAATAAGCCTCGGCTTTGATTGAGTTTTATTCAACAGATACTTTAAGGCTGCATCGTCTGAATGTATTATCACTTTAGACCCTAAAATGTAGGATCTAAATTTTTCAAGAGAGAAAACCACAGCTAGAAGTTCTTTTTCGGTGGTCGTATAATTTAGTTGGGCTCCATTAAGGGTCAAACTAGCATAAAAAATCACTCGAAGTAATTTATCGACTCGTTGACCTAAAACGGCTCCCACGACAAGATTTGATGCATCACACATAATCTCAAAAGGCAAAGACCAGTCAGGAGCAATCACAACAAGAGCAGTCACAAGCTTATTTTTCAAATCATTGAAAGCATTCAAACAAGCATTATCAAAATTGAAAGGCACATCTTGACTAAGCAAGTGACACAACGGCTGGCTAATTTTCGAAAATTCTTTTATAAATCTCCTATAGAAACCAGCATGCCCTAAAAAACTCCTAACGCCTTTCACATTCACCGGAGGGGGAAGTTTTTCAATAACATCAACTTTTGCTTTATCAACTTCAATCCCCCTCCTCGACACCAAATGGCCTAGTATAATTCCACTCTTAACCATAAAATGACTCTTTTCCCAGCTCAAAGTTAAATTTGATTCAATGCAACGTTCAAGGACACGAGATAAGTTATGGAGACAGTGAGAAAATTAATCACCAAAGATAGAAAAGTCATCCATAAATACCTGAAGGCAATCCTCGAGCATGTCGGAAAAGATGGAGAACATGCACCTCTGAAAAGTTCCCGGTGCATTGCATAGGCCAAAGGGCATCCGCCTGAAAGCAAATGTGCCAAATGGGCATTTGAAGGTGGTCTTCGGTTGGTCCTCGAGTGCTATGGCTACCTGGTAGTAACCGGAAAGTCCATCTAGGAAGCAATAGAATTGGTGGCCGGAGAGACGGTCGAGAATTTAATTGATGAATGGCAGTGGGAAATGGTCCTTCTTTGTCACGGCGTTGAGTCGTCGGTAGTCGATACACATCCTCCATCCGGTAGTGATGCAGGTGGGAATCATTTCCTTCTTCTCGTTCTCGATAACGGTGATGCCCCCTTTCTTCGACACCACATGAATGGGGCTAACCCACTCACTATCGGCAACTGGAAAAATAAGCCCCTTCGAGTAGAGCTTGAGGACCTCCGTCTTCACTACCTCCATCATGTTCGGGTTAAGCCGCCATTGGCTATCCCGAAAGGGTTTGGCACCCTCTTCTAAGACGATTCGGTGCATACATGTGGAGGGACTTATGCCTTTGAGGTCACCGAGACACCACCCAATGGCTTTATGGTTCTTCCGAAGCACTTCAAGTAACTTGCTCTTTTCCTCCCGGGTGAGCTCGGCGGAAATGATTACCGGCTTTTTCTCTTTTATCATCAAGGAACACGTACTTGAGGTGACGGGGCAGTTCTTTGAGCTCGAGTGTGGGAACGGTTCGTGTGGTGGGCTGGTTGGTTTCACATAGGTCAATGGTCGGCTCGTCGTCTTCATCGAGGTCGGGTAAGTTCTTTTCTTCAAACTCTCATATGGCCATTGCTTCAATAAAAGGGTCAGTTACATCGACAAACACGCATTCCTCAACAAAATTCACCGAAGATGATGATGTGGCTTCCCGGACAGAGATGGACACGGACTCGCCCAAGACCGTCATCTTGAGGGTCCCGTTCTTCACGTCGATGAGGGTGTTGGTAGTGGCCATGATTGGTCGCCCGAGAAGGATGGTGTGATCCTTCCCGTTCTCGTGTACGTCTCCCACATCTAGAATGACAAAATCTACGGGAACAATGAGTTCCCCCACACGTACTAGCACGTCTTCCACCACCCCCCTTAGGATATCGAATAGATCGGTCGGCAAGTTGGAGGCACATAAGAGTTGGTCTCAAGTCCCCGAGACCGAGTTGCTGAAAAATTGAGAATGGCATAAGGTTGATTCCGGCCCCGAGGTCAAGCATCCCCGAATCTTCTTTCCCATTCCAGAGGGCTATTTTGATCACGAAGCCCCCGGGATCACGTTCCTTCTTCGGTAGATCTTGGTGCATCGCACTCGCCGCCTCGTACACCACGACCTTCTCCCCGTCTTCGAATTTCCTTTTTTTCGTCACCAGGTCCTTGAAAAACTTTACGTAAGACGGCATATTCTTGATGACATCAAGATGCGGCAAGTTTCACGTTAACCTTCGAAAGCATGTTGTAAAGGTCCCGGAATTGCATCTCTTGTCTATCATCTCGAAGTCGGTCCGGGAAAGGGATGTTTGGTTTGAATGGACTTGGTTTGAATGGATTTGAGGATTTGTGTAGATTCAGACCCTCCACAGATTTTCTCGTGTCGGTCTGTGTGCTCTTTCCGACATCATTTTCCGCACCCTTGGGTTGGTCGGTCGGTGTAAGGTCCTCCGTCTCGGGCATTTCGACGTGATTGTCGACCACTTTCCCGCTCCGCAATACGGTGATCGCCTTAGCTTGCTCGGGTTGGCTAGGGAGCTTCCCTTTGTCGGATTCAGCCTCCAAGTTTCCAACTCTCGATGCGAGTTGGCCAATTTGCGTCTCCAAACGCTTAACGGTTGATTCTTGGTTCATCATGAATTAGAAGATTTTGTCTAATTTGTCATCTTGGGTGAGCGAGCTAGAGCCGACCCCTTGGGTTTGCATTTCTCCCATAGGGCCCCTTTGTTGTTGTTGTTGCGTAGGGAAATTTGGTCTCGTGTGTTGTTGTGGACTGAAGTTGGGTCGGTGTTGTTGTTGCATGTAGTTCGGTCGGGGTTGTTGGGTGTTGTTATTGTTGGACCATGAAAAGTTGGGGTGATTTGTCCACCCCGGGTTGTAGGTGTTCGAGTAAGAGTCGTTGGCCTGTCGGTTTTGGTATTCTTGGAGGGCGTTGGCATCCGCATATTGCTCCCCGAAGTCTTGGTCGAAGGCCGACGGGCACACCTCGGTTCGGTGCCCATGGACACCACACGTTCCGCAAGCTTCCACCGCCATAGTTTGTGTCGGTTGGATACTTCTTGCATTGAGTAGCCTCATTTGCTCTGTGAGCTCGGCTATTTGGTGGGCTATCATGTCTTTTCCGGGGGCAACCTCGTTCACCATCGTCTTCTTTCCTCGGCTGCTCTTTTGAGACGAGTTAGCATCATCGTCTCAAAAATCTCCATCATCTTCTCGGCCGTCTTTGCTTCGATGTCTCCACCGGCCGCATTGTCTACCATGTATTGAAGATTTTGGTGGAGAGAGTCGTAAAAGCTACTTACCAATAGCCCGGGTGGAATGTTGTGGTGTGGGCATTGCTTCTGGAGGTCTTTGAAGCGTTCCCACGCCTCGTTAAGTGGTTTGTGGGGTTGTTGGGCGAAGGAGATGATTTGCGATCGGAGCTCTTGAGTCTTTTGATGGGAATAGTACCTCCCGATGAACTTCGAATACACTTGCCCCCGAGTAGTGAGAGAATCAAGAGCAAGTGTCATAAACCAAGCCTTAGCTCGGTCTTTGAGTGTCTCGGGAAAACACCGCATCTTCAATTGGTCTTCGTTGTGCCCGTGGAGTGGAAAGGTTTGAAGGACGTTGTAAAATTCACGGATGAAATGGAGTGGATCTTCGTTGGGAAGGCCATGAAAGGCCATAAAAATAACAAAAATGAAGAGAGGAGTTTAATTAGACATTATGAAACACACAAAAATCACGAGAAAATCAAACTACAGGCAATGATGTGTAATAGCCACCCACTCAATATATTATTAACTGAAAGGACAACTTTACACATTATTATTATTATTATTATACAAACCTCCAATGGAAAATATCCCAGCATTGTTGATGAGAGCATGTAGAGGTCCTGAACGTGCATTCCAAGCTTAAGCGAATCTCACAACAGAATCCAGCGAGAGTAGATCAAGCTCCATAACCTTGAAAGGTGTACAAGTTACTTTGCAGTCGGACTAATATTAAAGCAGCAAATTTGTGTTTTATTTAAATGGTTTGAAGCATAACTCAGTCAACACAAAGGAATTCAGTTGTTCATATCATGCTGTTGAGCTTAATATGACGTTGCTTCCAACCAATAGGCTCAATAGGTTAATTAATAAGTACCTCGATGTTAAGAGGAAGACCCCTCCCAGACCAATCTTCCTGCCACTTTTTAATCAAGTCATTAGCTGCGTTTGGGTTTCTAACAGCCATCACAACATGCCCGCCTGCTTCAGCCAATTGTCTATCCAGTGAAATAATAATAATAACCACAAAGGAATTCAGAAACAAACCTACACAGCAAGGCCAGCCATAAACCATTCAAAATACATAATAATCTCGTTTCCGAAACTGATTCCGATGCACTTTTATAATCAGATGGTAACCACTAGAAGGTAATGCCTTTGCATATTAACAAGTGTAAGCAAGCTGTTGCAGGATGTGGTGACAGAAATAAATTGTATAGAGAAATTCAAGATAAAATACCCCAATGAATTCCGATTCTCACAACATGCACAAAAATCCCAATCCATTGAATAAAAAGACACGAAGAAGAAAAAATGTGGATGTACCTGGCAATTTCTTTGCCGATCCCAGAGGTGGAGCCGGTGACAACGAAAGTGAGGTCATTAAAGGGGGGAAGGGGCATCGGGTTGGGTAAATTGCTGGGGATAATCCTCTGGAACAGCATCTCGTACGCCAGATTTAACCACCCCATCGGCCATTCAATCCACCCCAGTCCTTCCTTCTTTGCCGGCGGTTTTCCATTGTTTTTCTCCTTTCCCTTCTTCGGCGAAGCCATCTTCACTCACGGAGATTGTATGTGCTCCTAGGAATTGAATTGTATGTGCTATGCCGAGCTGGAGCTGTGTGTGTAGCTAGAGATTCAAACGACTTCAATCCTCGCAACTTTAAGCCGTACTAGATTTTCAACCCCAATCCAAGCCGTTGGCTGCAAGATTCGGGGTAGAGCTACCAGGTGATGACCGTCAGTGTCTGATTGGGAAAACGTAGTACGCGGGCCGATCGAAGGTTCTGGTGAGTAGAGCGGGGAAGACGGTACTTGAGTTGGATCCGTGCTCTATCGTTATCGTCCACCGTCGAGGTGAGAAATCGGGAGTCGTCAGCGACTTCAGGCGGCGTGCACCGAATATGGTACGGCCCTTCGTCGGTGACGGAGGGTGAGTGATGCGAAAGAGATTAGAGATTTCTTTTATTTATCCAACAAATTTGTACACAATTTATATATTATTTTTTTTATTCTGCCCCTTGTGTTGGTAGTGGTAACAAGTCCAGCAAATGGATCTCAGTCTCCAACCCTTATCTCTACTATAGTGCAGACTTTACTCTACTGTATAGAGTTAAACAAATTTAGGTGTCGTCTCGCACTATATTTTATTCTACAAAATATTTTATTTTTAATATCATTATTTTATATTATTTTCATATTGATTTTCGATTCCATACACAAGAGTAACATGAGTTATCAATATTTGTGTTCGTGTTCATCATGCGGATGAAAATCATGCCCCAATCAGGACAACAAGATCAAATGTCAGGTCACAACCGGGGTGCCGCCTCGTCCGCCAGAGGAACTAGCGTGATACCCACGATACCTAAATTTTGTTTAACTCTATACAGTAGAGTAAAGTCTGTACTAGAGTAAAGATAAGGGTTGGAGACTGAGATCCATTTGCTGGACTTGTTACCACTGCCAACACAAGCGGCAGAATAAAAAAAATAATATATAAATTGTGTACAATTTTGTTGGATAAATAAAAAAACTCTCTAATCGATTTTGCATCACTCACCCTCCGTCACCGACGAAGGGCCGTACCATATTCGGTGCACGCCGCCTGAAGTCGCTGACGACTCCCGATTTCTCACCTCGACGGCGGACGATAACGATAGAGCACGGATCCAACTCAAGTACCGTCTTCCCCGCTCTACTCGCCAGAACCTTCGATCGGCCCGCGTACTACGTTTTCCCGATCAGACACTGACGTTCATCACCTGGTAGCTCTACCCCGAATCTTGCAGCCAACGGCTTGGATTGGGGTTGAAAATCAAGTACGGCTTAAAGTTGCGAGGATTGAAGTCGTTTGAATCTCCAGCTACACACACAGCTCCAGCTCGACATAGCACATACAATTCAATTCCTAGGAGCTCATACAATCTCCGTGAGTGAAGATTGTTGGGTTCGATAGTACCGTACGGGCTGTACGCAGCGGAATTTAAAATTTTTAAAGTAAGTATTTATCGTATAAATACAACACCCGTACATACTAATTGCGAATTAACTGATCGTCATCTTTAAAACATGCATCATATACAAATTTTGATTTGTTACTATAAAGTAAATACTAGTAAAAATATTTACCGAATGTCTTGAACTCCTTCACTATTGATGATGGATGAGGGAATCGGTTCCCGGTTGTAACTTCAACGACTTGAGGTTACTCGCTAGAGGAATCCAAGTGTCTTCCCTCTAAACGTATCCACCCTATGAAGCCCGGTTCCGACGACTTTCCTTCGCTAGTAGAAAAGACTCGGTTTTCTTGTATAGGAATATTTATGAATTTTATTTGGGAATTTTAAGAACTCTTTCTTGAAGTTTTATTAAGAACATTTTTTTTTCTCTTTCTAACACTTAGAAATTTAGGATCAAAAACTTCACTTAAATGCAAAACCATTTTGCACATATTTATACTAAACATTTTAGCATAAAATAATCAACATTTAGTAATATTTAAATAAAATCAAATTTTATTTAAATAGTATTTACTAACTTTTGACTTTGAAAATAATAAGATATGTTAAGTAGTTCAAACAACCATCAACAACCATTTTATTATAATCATATTTATTATTTTAATCCTTAAATCATATTTAAAGATATAAATAATAATTGGATAATAAATCTTGAGAATCTTTCTCAAGACTTTATTATTATATCATTTTCCCAATATTATAATAATCATATTATTATTATTTTGGATTTTTGAAATTTAAAATCCTATTTTAAAATTCAACTTTATTAATTTAGTAATTACCTTAATTACTAAAGTAATATCCAAAATGTAATTAATCAATCTTATTGATTAATATATTCCTTTAATTGATATCTAATCAAATTAGATATTTATCAATTAATTCTAACCATTAGAAATACAATCTTTACCTTTGTTCATAATTAGTGTGACCTTTTAGGTTCACCTTAATACTAGTAGTGGGTTTACAACACTTTGTAATTTGAGTTAAATCTTATTAACTCTTATTCATGAATTAACCCTTTAATTTATGAACCCACATATCATGGTAACACCTAGCAAGTAGCATGAATCTAGTATTAAGTGAATAGCGAGTAAACCTATTCCGATTACAACTCCATACATGTAAAATCCTTTCGACATCTAATTTCCCGATTAAGTCTTGGGTATGATTTTGTCGAAACCCAAATTGACTTAATAACTATGATTCTATTTCATGTTTATTAACCCGGTTATGAATCACTATTCATCTCTGCCTTGGCCAAGGACTTTGGATTAATAACTATGAAACACATAGGAAATTCACTTATCTTCATAAGTGTCGAATCCTTTATTGGCCACTAACAAACTTCCATACATATTAACATAATACCCAACTTATCCCTTTAAACGATAGTGCTAGCTACCAAAAGGATAAATCAAAGTAGAATGTAATATGCACAAAGTTACCATTGTGCCTCAAGTCTTAGGATTAGTCATGTACTATTGTAACATGAAAATTCTTATTCGACTGAATAAATTCTTCATTAAGAATTTTCATACGGTCATGTTCAGTGAACTTGTTCTCTAACAAGCACCCACATAAATGTACTTACGTCTTACGCTAATGTTGATGGAATGCAACATTCTTGTCCAACAAGCATACAAACTATGTGCAAGTCTTTTATGGATTATTCGATATCCCATCTCGAAACATCCATCGACTTGGAACTGTATTTAAGATCACGGCTTTCAAGGTATGTTCCATGATCACCATCTCTATGCGCAACCATACCTTATAACCATAAGTGATCTAGGGATTTTATCTTAAGTGCAATTATAAGATAAATGCTTTCTCTTAAGATAAAGAAATGCCTTATTCATAATATAATTCCAATAGACTGTATTTACAAGTAGAATACGTCCAATTAGATTGGAACGCCGGGTACCCTACTCTAACAATCTCCCACTTGCCCTAGTTCCAATCACTCATGTATCTAAGACCCATCTTCTCAAGATGTCCTTCGAACACTTTCTGTGATAAGGGTTTAGTTAAGGGGTCTGCTATATTTTCTGCTGAGTCGACTCGCTCCATCACGACATCGCCTCTACCAATGATTTCTCTAATCAAATGGTATCGCCTCATAATGTGTTTGGATTTTTGATGAGATCTTGGCTCCTTTGCTTGCGCAATAGCCCCATTGTTATCACAATAAATCATTATTGGATCAACAACGGATGGTACTACACCCAACCCTTGGATAAAGTTCCTTATCCAAACAGCTTCTTTTGCAGCATCAGATGCAGCAATATATTCAGCCTCTGTCGTAGAGTCAGCAATTGTTTCTTGTTTGGAACTTTTCCAACTAACTGCTGCTCCATTCAGAGTAAATAAGTATCCAGACATGGATTTATAGTCGTCTTTATCGGACTGAAAACCAGAATCAGTAAAGCCTTCTAGTTTCAGTTCTCCATTGCCGTATACCATAAAGATATCCTTAGTCCTTCGTAAGTACTTAAGAATCATCTTAACGGCTTTCCAGTGTTCTTCACCTGGATTAGACTGATATCTGCTCGTTACACTAAGTGCATGAGCCACATCAGGTCTTGTACATAACATTGCATACATAATGCTACCAATAGCTGATGCATAAGGTATATGACTCATCCGTTCTCTTTCTTCAGGTGTCTTTGGAGACATCGTCTTAGAAAGAGAAATCCCATGACTCATTGGAATATATCCTCGTTTGGATTCTTCCATGCTAAACCGTTGTAGCACCTTATTTATGTACGTCGACTGGGATAGTCCGATCATCCGTTTAAATCTATCCCTATAGATTTTTATCCCTAGGATAAAGGATGCTTCTCCCAAGTCTTTCATGGAAAACTGTTTTGACAACCATGTCCTAGTTGACTGCAACATCCCTACATCATTCCCAATGAGTAGGATGTCATCAACATATAGAACAACAAATGTAACTGCACTCCCACTAACCTTCTTATAAACACATGGTTCATCCGGATTCTTATGAAAATCAAACGTTTTGATCGTTTCATCAAACCGAATATTCCAACTCCTCGAAGCTTGTTTAAGTCCATAAATAGACCTTTGAAGTTTACAAACCATTTGTTCACTCCCATTGGATATGAAACCTTGCGGTTGTTTCATATAAATGTCTTCCTTAATATTTCCATTAAGAAAAGCAGTTTTCACATCCATTTGCCATATCTCGTAGTCATAATACGCAGCTATGGCTAGCAATATCCGAATAGATTTAAGCATTGCTACTGGTGAAAAAGTTTCCTCATAATCAACACCTTGTTTTTGAGTATAACCTTTAGCAACCAGTCTTGCTTTAAAAGTATTTACTTCTCCATCTACACCACGTTTTCGCTTGTAAACCCATTTACAACCTATGGGTACAATACCCTGTGGTGGATCAACCAAAGTCCATACTTTGTTTGAATACATGGAATCTATTTCGGATTGCATAGCTTCTTGCCATTTATCTGAGTCAATGTCCAACATTGCCTCATCATAGCTTATTGGATCATTATCCAAAAGGAGTCCCTCTTCATTGTCTTTTGACAATAGGTATAGCCTTTCAGGCGCCCTAGAAACCCTTTCGGATCTCCGAAGAGGTTGTGTTTCAGATGGTCCAGTCTCTACTGGTATGTTATTTGTGGTACTTTGTGGAATTTCTTGTGGTTCTTCATTAAGTTCTATGACTCCACTATTCTTTGAGAGAAACTCTTCCTCTAAGAATATAGCATTCCTCGAAACAAACACCTTTTGTTCAGAGGGATCATAGAAATAGTATCCAATAGATTCTTTTGGATACCCCACAAATTTACATAAGATGGATCTCATATCCAACTTACCTCCCACTAACTGCTTCACATAAGCAGTACAACCCCATACTTTCAAATATTTGTATGAGGGTGATTTACCACACCATATCTCATAAGGTGTGCTGGGTACAGCTTTACTCGGCACTCTATTCAAAATATGTGCAGCTGTTTCTAAGGCATAACCCCAGAATGAAAGAGGTAAACTAGTGGAACTCATCATTGATCGAACCATGTCTAACAGTGTTCGATTTCTCCTTTCTGAAACCCCATTGAGTTGTGGAGTTCCAGGAGGTGTCCACTGTGAGATAATCCCATTATCCCTTAAATAATCAAGAAACTCATTAGTCAAGTATTCACCTCCTCGATCCGATCGAAGGACTTTAATACTACGACCAATTTGTTTCTCCACTTCATTTCTGAATTCTTTGAACTTTTCAAATACTTCAGATTTGTACCTTAATAGGTATACATAACCATACCGTGAAAAATCATCAGTAAAGGTTATGAAATAGTGATAGTTCCCCATAGCACTAACATTTAGTGGTCCACAAACATCTGTATGGATCAAATCCAACAGACCTTTAGCTCGCTCCACTTGTCCAACAAATGGTGATTTTGTCATTTTACCTTTAAGACATGATTCACATGTAGGCAACCTATCCTCTCCCATAAGGTCGAGTTTTGGTCCCAATTTGTGAATCCTCTTTTCAGATATATGACCTAATCTAGCATGCCAAATTGTGAATGAACTATGATTATCTAATTTCCTTTTATTTTGTTGAATGGTTAGGATGGGACTTTCTGGTGTAATGGTATATAAACCATTTGTCAAGTTTCCTGAATATATAAAAGTTGTATCTTTGAAAATAGAACATCTTCCATTTTCAATGACAAACTTAAAACCTTCCTTATCCAATATTGGAATAGAAATAATGTTTCTTATAATATCAGGAACATACAAACAATTTGAAAGACAAACTTTTACACCATTATTTAAAGCTAGATAAACAGTCCCAATTGCTTTGGCAGCAACCCTTGCCCCATTGCCCATCCTTAGGATTGTTTCATCATTTTCTAGCTTTTTACTTCTTGCCATAATTTGCAAATTATTGCAAATGTGTGAGCCACAGCCGGTATCCAATACCCAAGAAGATTCGTTAACTGATAAGTTAACTTCAACAAAATAAATACCTGAACTTTTCAGGCTTGCAAGATATTTCTTGCAGTTCCTCTTCCAATGCCCAGTTTTACCACAATGATAACATTTATTGGGTTCAGTTAATTTGTTTTGTTCAAGGATACTTGCAATTGGATTTTTAGCCATTTTAGTAGAGTGATCTACAAAAACAACAAACGAAGCAGAAAATAATTAAACTATGGAATTTATATTCATTTAATATTAGGTCTTTAATATTAAATGTCTCCCACTATTTTAATTAAAACCCCTTTTTAATTATGAAAATCTAATTTTCATAGTGGGCTTGAAGTCCAATAAAAATATTCCATATCCCAATTTTATGAGTACGCATGGAACATTTATATCGGTAGTCAACTTTTGACAATTGTATCTCTATACAACCTTCAAGATGTTTTGCCTCACCTTTCCTTATATACCTCAATTTTATGACCGTATATATTACTCGGTGTCAAATCAAACCCATCAAAACTTTCATGATAATGGCCCACCAGAGTGTCCCACGACTCATGGTCAACACAAAGAGGAATCCATCTCACGAATATCAATATATTTAATAGAGTTCACAGCTTTCGACATAGAATCATCCCACGACTCGTGGCCAATGATAAAACATCGTAGCATCTCATGTCATCTACTTTTGATGGAAGACCGGGATTAATAAGTTCCAACTTATTTTTATCCATTATTGATTTGATATGGAATTAATCAAATTAATCCGTTTGGGTTCCTTGATCTCATCGATTACCATCTTTACGTTTATTTACCGATTTCAGTCACCTAATGAAACGAAAGCGTAAATAAACCTAACATACATCTAATGCATGGTGGGATGATCATGTCCTTGCCTATTCGATCCATTCGAGCCAAAATGGATCTATGCCTATGTACGTGATAAAACAAATAATAGAACTACTTCTATTACATTTATTCTATCTACCCGTACAAGCACAGGCCTTCGAGATTACAACTTGTAAAATTACCCACACATGCGTGGGCCTTTGTCATCGAACGGTCTCCACCTTGATCTAATCTCTAACGATACAAAATTTAAAATTTTACAAATTTCATCTCAAGAGACTCGCAGGTCTCGATAAATTACATTTCTTCAATCATATTGAAAACATAATTAAACATCCATTCATTCATTCAATCATATTGAAAATGAAAACATCCATTCAAACATAATGAATATGAGGCTCATGATCATCCCTAAAACATTCATCTAATGAAATGAACATAAAATATCAATTTATGAGTCACACGACTCGTGTGAGGGTCACACGACCCGTGTGATCTTATCACACGACTCGTGTGAAAAATACGAATTGAAAATCAAAATTTTTCCCAGACTCACACGACTCGTGTGGCTCGTCACACGACTCGTGTGAGCTCACACGACTCGTGTGACAAGGTCACACGACTCGTGTGAAAATCACGAAGCTAAAATCAAAATTTTTCTTCATGCCACACGACTCGTGTGACAAGGTCACACGACTCGTGTGGCTTAAAAACGATTTTTAATTTTATAATTAATATTTTTATCATATAAAAAATTAATTATATTGCTTATCTCATAAGTCTTAACAAATCAAAATCTGTTTTAAAGACGATAACCGTGGCTCTGATACCACTGTTGGGTTCGATAGTACCGTACGGGCTGTACGCAGCGGAATTTAAAATTTTTAAAGTAAGTATTTATCGTATAAATACAACACCCGTACATACTAATTGCGAATTAACTGATCGTCATCTTTAAAACATGCATCATATACAAATTTTGATTTGTTACTATAAAGTAAATACTAGTAAAAATATTTACCGAATGTCTTGAACTCCTTCACTATTGATGATGGATGAGGGAATCGGTTCCCGGTTGTAACTTCAACGACTTGAGGTTACTCGCTAGAGGAATCCAAGTGTCTTCCCTCTAAACGTATCCACCCTATGAAGCCCGGTTCCGACGACTTTCCTTCGCTAGTAGAAAAGACTCGGTTTTCTTGTATAGGAATATTTATGAATTTTATTTGGGAATTTTAAGAACTCTTTCTTGAAGTTTTATGAAGAACACTTTCTTCTCTTTCTAACACTTAGAAATTTAGGATCAAAAACTTCACTTAAATGCAAAACCATTTTGCATATATTTATACTAAACATTTTAGCATAAAATAATCAACATTTAGTAATATTAAATAAAATCAAATTTTATTTAAATAGTATTTACTAACTTTTGACTTTGAAAATAATAAGATATGTTAAGTAGTTCAAACAACCATCAACAACCATTTTATTATAATCATATTTATTATTTTAATCCTTAAATCATATTTAAAGATATAAATAATAATTGGATAATAAATCTTGAGAATCTTTCTCAAGACTTTATTATTATATCATTTTCCCAATATTATAATAATCATATTATTATTATTTTGGATTTTTGAAATTTAAAATCCTATTTTAAAATTCAACTTTATTAATTTAGTAATTACCTTAATTACTAAAGTAATATCCAAAATGTAATTAATCAATCTTATTGATTAATATATTCCTTTAATTGATATCTAATCAAATTAGATATTTATCAATTAATTCTAACCATTAGAAATACAATCTTTACCTTTGTTCATAATTAGTGTGACCTTTTAGGTTCACCTTAATACTAGTAGTGGGTTTACAACACTTTGTAATTTGAGTTAAATCTTATTAACTCTTATTCATGAATTAACCCTTTAATTTATGAACCCACATATCATGGTAACACCTAGCAAGTAGCATGAATCTAGTATTAAGTGAATAGCGAGTAAACCTATTCCGATTACAACTCCATACATGTAAAATCCTTTCGACATCTAATTTCCCGATTAAGTCTTGGGTATGATTTTGTCGAAACCCAAATTGACTTAATAACTATGATTCTATTTCATGTTTATTAACCCGGTTATGAATCACTATTCATCTCTGCCTTGGCCAAGGACTTTGGATTAATAACTATGAAACACATAGGAAATTCACTTATCTTCATAAGTGTCGAATCCTTTATTGGCCACTAACAAACTTCCATACATATTAACATAATACCCAACTTATCCCTTTAAACGATAGTGCTAGCTACCAAAAGGATAAATCAAAGTAGAATGTAATATGCACAAAGTTACCATTGTGCCTCAAGTCTTAGGATTAGTCATGTACTATTGTAACATGAAAATTCTTATTCGACTGAATAAATTCTTCATTAAGAATTTTCATACGGTCATGTTCAGTGAACTTGTTCTCTAACAAGCACCCACATAAATGTACTTACGTCTTACGCTAATGTTGATGGAATGCAACATTCTTGTCCAACAAGCATACAAACTATGTGCAAGTCTTTTATGGATTATTCGATATCCCATCTCGAAACATCCATCGACTTGGAACTGTATTTAAGATCACGGCTTTCAAGGTATGTTCCATGATCACCATCTCTATGCGCAACCATACCTTATAACCATAAGTGATCTAGGGATTTTATCTTAAGTGCAATTATAAGATAAATGCTTTCTCTTAAGATAAAGAAATGCCTTATTCATAATATAATTCCAATAGACTGTATTTACAAGTAGAATACGTCCAATTAGATTGGAACGCCGGGTACCCTACTCTAACAAAGATGGCTTCGCCGAAGAAGGGAAAGGAGAAAAACAATGGAAAACCACCGGAAAAGAAGGAAGGACTGGGGTGGATTGAATGGCTGATGGGGTGGTTAAATCTGGCGTACGAGATGCTGTTCCAGAGGATTATCGCCAGCAATTTGCCCAACCCGATGCTTCTTCCCCCCATTAATGACCTCACTTTCGTTGTCACCGGCTCCACCTCTGGGATCGGCAAAGAAATTGCCAGGTACATCCACATTTTTTCTTCTTCGTGTCCTTTTATTCAATGGATTGGGATTTTTGTGCATGTTGTGAGAATCGGAGTTCATTGGGGTATTTTATCTTGAATTTCTATGTACAATTTATTTCAGTCACCACATCCTGCAACAGCTTGCTTACACTTGTTAATATGCAAAGGCATTACCTTCTAGTGGTTACCATCTGATTATAAAAGTGCATCGGAATCAGTTTCGGAAACAAGATTATTATGTATTTTGAATGGTTTATGGCTGGCGTTGCTGTTTAGGTTTGTTTCTGAATTCCTTTGTGGTTATTATTATTATTTCACTGAATAGGCAATTGGCTGAAGCAGGCGGGCATGTTGTGATGGCTGTTAGAAACCCAAACGCAGCTAATGACTTGATTAAAAAGTGGCAGGAAGATTGGTCTGGGAGGGGTCTTCCTCTTAATATCGAGGTACTTATTAATTAACCTATTGAGCCTATTGGTTGGAAGCAACGTCATATTAAGCTCAACAGCATGATATGAACAGCTGAATTCCTTTGTGCTGACTGAGTTATGCTTCAAACCATTTAAATAAAACACAAATTTGCTGCTTTAATATTAGTCCGACTGCAAAGTAACTTGTACACCTTTCAAGGTTATGGAGCTTGATCTACTCTCGCTGGATTCTGTTGTGAGATTCGCTGAAGCTTGGAATGCATGTTCAGGACCTCTACATGCTCTCATCAACAATGCTGGGATATTTTCCATTGGAGGTTTGTATAATAATAATAATAATAATAATGTGTAAAGTTGTCCTTTCAGTTAATAATATATTGAGTGGGTGGCTATTACACATCATTGCCTGTAGTTTGATTTTCTCGTGATTTGTGTGTGTTTTATAATGTCTAATTAAACTCCTCTCTTCATTTTTGTTATTTTTGTTATATTTTTCCTGCTTATTTTTCTTTTCTTTTTCCCCATTTTATGTAATTTCTTTCATTTTTAGTTCATTTAGTGTTCAGTTATGTGTTTTCTCTTTATTTGAGTCATTGTGAGTTGTTCGTGTATTGTTTTTCCCGTTTTATGTTTCGTGTTCTGTCGTTCTTTATGGTAGGTTGGAAGTTCGAGCGAGTACTCTTTCCTAGGAAAAATTGGTTTGAAGGCATAAATGAATAAAGGAGTTCGTGGGCAACACGTAGCAAAAATCGGAAGTCAATTCCGAGTCCGGATAAGCGCATACGAGCCCAAACAACGAATCGAAAAATTCCTTCGTCGCTGGCCATGAGGGAAGCCGCGGGCCGCGAAAAGTTGTCGTGTGCAGCGAGAAATGTCGCGGGGTGCGAAGGAACACAAGATTTTCCTGCTCGCTGAAGTCGCGGCCGCGAAATAATCTTAGTCGCGGGCCGCGGAGCATGTCGCCGCAGCGAGATCTTCTCGTCGCGGGCCGAGAGACCTGTAATTTGCTGGATTTGTGGCTTTTTCCCCCCTTTTTCTCCTTGGTGGATGATAGTGGCGATTTTTGAGCATGTTTTTGGGCACTCACATATGATATTTGGGGATTGAACACTATAAATACATCTTCTGTCATAATGTATAATCATCCTTCACTTTGATTCACAATTCTCTTCAAGATTTTTCTTCATTTCCTAAGTTTTTCTTAAGTTTGTATTTTGGTTTGTATTGAAGACACTGTTGTACTTAGATTAAGTTTGCATTTGCTCTTGTGGAATTCTCATTACAAGTAAGTTATCTATTTCATTTTATCTATGTTAAAAGATGGCTTGTTTTAATGTGAATGATTATGTTAAACTGATCATGAACAACTAATCTTCTAACTAGGGTTAGGGGATAATCGTTTCGGTTCGTTCTTACGTATGTGTACATCAATTACTCAATCTTTACGAGTTTTACTTATTTCACGATTGAATGCTTGATCACCATTTTAATCTAAACAATCGATTTCAAAACCGAGAGGGGCGAAATTGGTAGAACTTGGCTCGTTTGGAGTAGACATGTTCGGAAACGTATTGTCTATGTGTTAATTGTCTCGTTAATTTACTCTTTTATGTTTTTCCTCATATTACGAGAGTTAATGAGGATAAACCGCTAAATGAGTTAGTTAATCGAGCCTTTTGACCGAGTAGTTGATTGCCGTTAAATTTATGTAAAACCATAGACGATTGTCCCCGATACCCTAGTTATTTACATCCTTTGGTATTATCTTCATTATTTTGCTAATTTATATCTCTTTAAATCATTTTTATAAGTTGTGATATTAAATTGTTCTAGTTAAGAATAATTAGTAAAAATCAAAATCAACAACTTGAATTAGATTGTGTAGGATTATTTTCGTTTTTGTGATAGAATGAACGTACAAAATAGTCCGGCTAACCTTCCTTGAGAACACGACCCGGTGTTCGAATCTTTTGATTCTACTCCGGTAAAATAAACTACAACAAAATGGCGCCGTTGCTGGGGAAGGTTTAGGAATTATTTCGTGCGTCTATTCACTTTGTTTTTGTGTTTCTCTTATTCTTGTGATTTTCTCGTCTTTGTGTTTCTCTTTGTTTCTTGTTTTATTTTTCGAGTAGTAGTAGTATTTTCGGGGCGTTTGTCCTTAGCTCTTTTTCGTTAATGGGTGCTCGTAACGCATTGTTGTTTTTGTATGCGTATTAGGAGTGGACGTGTACTCATTCCGAGCAACAAGTCCATCAACGACGATCTATGAGAATTGTTTGCCAACCTTTCTCTTGAACCATCAAATCCCGACAAGCAAGGCGAGATGGCCCGACACGAAGAAGAGGAAGTAAACAATCCCCCGCGATATCTTCTCCGGGACTTAGCCCAACCGGTGATTGGTCCTGTGACTTCATGTATTCGATTGGGACCGGCGGCTCAAAATTACGAGCTCAAGACGATACACTATAACCAACTCCCATCCTTTCATGGTCTTCCCAACGAAGATCCACTCCATTTAATCCGTGAATTTTACAACGTCCTTCAAACCTTTCCACTCCATGGGCTCAACGAAGTCCAATTGAAGATGCGGTGTTTTTTCGAGACACTCAAAGACCAAGCTAAGGCTTGGTTTATGACACTTGCTCCCGATTCCCTCACTACTTGGGGGTAAGTGTATTCGAAGTTCATCGGGAGGTACTATTCCCATCAAAAGACTCAAGAGCTCCGATCGCAAATCGTCTCCTTCGCCCAACAACCCAACGAACCACTTCACGAGGCGTGGGAACGCTTCAAAGACCTCCAGAAGCAATGCCCACACCACAACATTCCACCCGGGCTATTGGTAAGTAGCTTTTACGACTCTCTCCACCAAAATCTTCAATACATGGTGGACAATGCGGCCGGTGGAGACATCGGAGCAAAGACGGCCGAGGAGATGATGGAGATTTTTGAGACGATGATGCTAATTCGTCTCAAAAGAGCAGCCGAGGAAAGAAGACGATGGTGAACGAGGTTTCCCCCGGAAAAGACATGATAGCCCACCAAATAGCCGAGCTCACAGAGCAAATGAGGCTACTCAATGCAAGAAGTATCCAACCGACACAAACTATGGCGGTGGAAGCTTGCGGAACGTGTGGTGTCCGTGGGCACCGATCCGAGGTGTGCCCTTTGGCCTTCGACCAAGACTTCGGGGAGCAATATGCGGATGCCAACGCCCTCCAAGGATACCAAAACCGACCGGCCAATGACCCTTACTCGAACACCTACAACCCGGGGTAGAGAAATCACCCCAACTTTTCATGGTCCAACAACAACAACACCCAACAACCCCGACCGAACAACATGCAACAACAACACCGACCCAACTTCATTCCACAACAACACACGGGACCAAATTTTCCTCCGCAACAACAACAACAAAGGGGCCCTATGGGAGGAATGCAAACCCAAGGGGTCGGCTCTAGCTCGCTCACCCAAGATGACAAATTAGACAAAATCCTTCAATTCATGACGAACCAAGAATCAACCGCTAAGCGTTTGGAGACGCAAATTGGCCAACTCGCCTCGAGAGTTGGAAACTTGGAGGCTGAATCCGACAAAGGGAAGCTCCCTAGCCAACCCGAGCAAGCTAAGGCGATCACCGTATTGCAGAGCGGGAAAGTGGTCGACAATCACGTCGAAATGCCCGAGACGGAGGACCTTACACCGACCGACCAACCCAAGGGTGCGGAAAATGATGTCGAAAAGAGCACACAGACCGAAACGAGAAAATCTGTGGAGGGTCTGAATCTACACAAATCCTCAAATCCATTCAAACCAAGTCCATTCAAACCAAACATCCCTTTCCCGGACCGACTTCGAGATGATAGACAAGAGATGCAATTCCGGGACCTCTACAACATGCTTTCGAAGGTTAACGTGAAACTTGCCGCATCTTGATGTCATCAAGAATATGCCGTCTTACGTAAAGTTTTTCAAGGACCTGGTGACGAAAAAGAGAAAATTCGAAGACGGGGAGAAGGTCGTGGTGTACGAGGCGACGAATGCGATGCACCAAGATCTACCGAAGAAGGAACGTGATCCCGGGGGCTTCGTGATCAAAATAGCCCTCTGGAATGGGAAAGAAGATTCAAGGATGCTTGACCTCGGGGCCGGAATCAACCTTATGCCATTCTCAATTTTTCAGCAACTCGGTCTCGGGGACTTGAGACCAACTCTTATGTGCCTCCAACTTGCCGACCGATCTATTCGATATCCTAAGGGGGTGGTGGAAGACGTGCTAGTACATGTGGGGGAACTCATTGTTCCCGTAGATTTTGTCATTCTAGATGTGGGAGACGTACACGAGAACGGGAAGGATCACACCATCCTTCTCGGGCGACCAATCATGGCCACCACCAACACCCTCATCGACGTGAAGAACGGGACCCTCAAGATGACGGTCTTGGGCGAGTCCGTGTCCATCTCTGTCCGGGAAGCCACATCATCATCTTCGGTGAATTTTGTCGAGGAATGCGCGTTTGTCGATGTAACCGACCCTTTTATTGAAGCAATGGCCATATTAGAGTTTGAAGAAAAGAACTTACCCGACCTCGATGAAGACGACGAGCCAACCATTGACCTATGTGAAACCAACCAGCCCACCACACGAACCGTTCCCACACTCGAGCTCAAAGAACTGCCCCGTCACCTCAAGTACGTGTTCCTTGATGATAAAGAGCAAAAGCCGGTAATCATTTCCGCCGAGCTCACCCGGGAGGAAGAGAGCAAGTTACTTGAAGTGCTTCGGAAGAACCATAAAGCCATTGGGTGGTGTCTCGGAGACCTCAAAAGCATAAGTCCCTTCACATGTATGCACCGAATCGTCTTAGAAGAGGGGGCCAAACCCTTTCAGGATAGTCAATGGCAGCTTAACCCGAACATGATGGACGTAGTGAAGACGGAGGTCCTCAAGCTCTACTCGGAGGGGCTTATTTTTCCAGTTGCCGATAGTGAGTGGGTTAGCCCCATTCATGCGGTGCCGAAGAAAGGGGGCATCACCGTTATCGAGAACGAGAAGAAGGAAATGATTCCCACCTGCATCACTACCGGATGGAGGATGTGTATCGACTACCGACGACTCAACGCCGTGACAAAGAAGGACTATTTTCCACTGCCATTCATCGATTAAATTCTCGACCGTCTCTCCGGCCACCAATTCTATTGATTCCTAGATGGACTTTCCGGTTACTACCAGGTAGCCATAGCACTCGAGGACCAACCGAAGACCACCTTCAAATGCCCATTCGGCACATTTTCTTTCAGGCGGATGCC